TTAAGATCGTTAATTACGTTACCTCGTTTTAACTATACGAGTTTACGTTTAACGTTAGCTTAGCTTAGTTTATCGGTAATCCTAAAACGGTATTTTAAAACTATAACGATAACTCTTTAAATCGTTTAATCCTTCGTAACGTCGTTAATACGCTTCCTAATAATCTTAATCGTAATTTATTCGCCGATCCTTTTAATCTTATCGTCGTCGCTTATACGGTAGTAATTAAATAATCGATTTACCTTCTTTAGTTATTAAGTTACGTTATATTTATTAAACTTAAGCCTTAGGTAATCGGTAGCGTTTAGGAATTTAATAACTAGTATTACGATAGTCGGAATAGCTACCGGTATATTCTAGTTACTAGAGGCTCCGTTATTATTATTTTAAAATAATACTATAGGAATTAGCGGGATAAGTATAGAGCCGCGGGTAAGGAATAAGTAAATCGGAGTTTTATCGTCGTTCCCTTCTTCTTCGGGCGGATATAAAGGCGGAAAGCTAATATCGACTCTTAAGGTTTTTATTAGTAGTTTAATCTTTACTACTTCGGGTTCCGATAGCGATTTATTCCGTTTTCTAGCTACGGATTCCGTCTAGTTTAACGGTACGAGGTATAAAGTAGAAAGGGAAGTAGTAAGGGTCTTATTATCTAACATAGGGGTAAAGGTAAAATAATTATTATTTATATTTTAATACTTTTTCTTTAGCATAAGTATATTATTATTTATTATACTATCCCGATCGATAGGATACGGATATTATACGAGCTTTTTTAATCGAATAACGCCTAATTAAAATATGATACGTATTTCCTAGATTAATAATTTAATTATAATAAATAAGTTAACGATAATTTCTTTTATTAAGGTTTAAAACTCTTAACGTATAACCTTCGTTAAAGTAATACATATAAGGGATAGATCCCGAGTAAAGGATCGCGTTAAATACGATATTGGTTATAGCTATAGGCCGGTTTCGATTTAATAAGGGCTATTTAATAGTATTAGCGGTATTACCGCTACGCGCCGTTTTACGCCTATATTAATACTTTTCGCTATACTAATTATTAATTAGTAATATAAGGCTAGCTTATATATAGGTATACTTATTAGTTCGATTTTAGTTCCGTTTCCTTAATCCTTTATATTTACGTAATCTTATTAATATTAATTCCTAATTCTCTTTAAAACTATCGGTTATTAGTAGCTATTAGTTTATTAATTTCATTTATATTATTAATATTAATATCTATATTATATGGTATATTATATCGTCGAATTATTACGCTTAGGTATTCTAAAGTGCCTCTAATATAATAAGTTATTAATATTTATATATTTAACTTATATCGATTAATAGGTTTAAAAGGAAAAAGAAGCTATCGTAAGGTCGGCTAATGCATAATTATTATTAGCCTTTATCTATCCTTAGTATTAATAAGGGAGTAGCGGGTCGTATAGGTTATCGTAATTTTATATTAAGGCGTTCGTACGTCCTTTATATAGATAGGCGAGCGTAAGGGAGTTATCCTAATCGTTATAAGCGTTATTTACTCGCGCGAGATATACTATGCTATTAGCGGTTCAAAGGAGCGGTTAGTATCGAGGGCTAAATGCTATCCCTAGTAGCTATAGTATTACGACGAAAGTTTCCTAGGCTTACGGGTACCTCCTTATAGGTAAGTAAAAGGTTACCGAGGTTAACGTTAATCGCTATAAGCGCTATCTATTTATCGTATTAAATCGTAGTATCGATAGCTTAATAACGTTATAAGTATTAAGGGCTAGGTAGTATTTTAGCGGCTATAGTATCGTAATAAAAGTTCCCGGGCTTATACGTATTTCCTTATAGTAGATAAATAACCATAAGGTAGGATACTTTATTTAACGTAAAACGTAGACTACTTCGCGGGTTATATAGCGGCGCCGACGGCGATCGGTATCCTTTAAATCCTAGTAGCGTAATAGAAACTCCGTAGACTAATGGTTAAAGGGTCGAAAGGTTATAGGGTAGTCGCTACTAAGGAAGAGTAAAGCGTACGCGATATTAAAGACCCGGATAGGTTTATTCGAAAGTATACTCTATCGAAGACTATAATACGTACGATGGTCTAAGATAAATAAAACTAATACCGCTATATTAATCGAGAGGTAAGGAATTTAATATAGTTATCGTATCTTAGCTATACCCCTTAGTCGTAGAGATATAGTAGTCGCTAGCCCGAAGGTATAAAAGGTAAGGGAAGAAAAGGAGTAAAACGTAAAAGTTACTTATTGGGCTATAGCGGTACGACGAAGTAACTTAAGCGCCTATAACTAAGATAAATATATTAATCGGAGAAAGACGAATTTAATAATAAAAACGAATCTTTAATTAACGTAAAAATAATAAAGATAGTAATCTAATTAGGTATTAAACTAGATAATAAGTATAGCATAGCCCCTACTTACGGGTACTATGGTTACTCTATATAGGCATAGGGCCTATCGTAGCGTATTACGTGATGCATTAAGAAGGCATGTCTTACCGCACCACTACAGTAGGCACTGTGGTTACTTCTTAGGAGTAACGGAAGGTGGGAGGATGAAGGTAAATTAACTAACTATTATAGTGGTGCGGTGGATCTAGGCCACGTAGCCTTTTCGATATATATTTATATGGGTCGCGTATTTATATTTTCATTAGTTAGACTTAGACCTATAGCTATTATAGCCATAGCTATTTACTCGTTTCTTATTATGCCTTTTCTCGCGATCCTCGTTATCCGTTTTTAGTTTCTTCCTTTTCCCTTTCCTAGCTGCCGTTTTTAGCTGGCCGATTAACCGATTATAGCTATTTATAGCTATAATCTTAGGTTGACCGGCACTAGGCCAGTTGTTAGTAGTTAGGTAATCCTTATTTCGTGCCTCCGTTAGCGTGCCTACGCTACTCCTATTTAATAGCGACTACCTAGTAGCTCGAACCTTACCTTATCTTAAGAGCGACCTTTTACGCCCGCTTTTATAGTTAATAGGTTCAGGATACGTCGATTAGGAGATCCCTAGAGTTTTAGTTAATTAGAAGCTATTTTCGTAGCTCCAGAGCCGTTTTAGTGGCTTTTGGCCTTAGCTTTTTAGGTCAGGCATTAGGATTAATAGGGAGGGCAGATAATCATAGCGACCATTAACAACCACGCCTTCCCATTAGCTTTTGATTAGCTTACCTAAAAGCTCGTTCGCCGATTAGTAGATCTATCTTATCTTCGTTTCTTAATTGTCTCTTTCAAAGGAGATGTGCCCGTTTTTACCCGGTTTCGTCTTCGTTTTTAGCAGTACCTAGATGGCAGTTTTTCTCGCCCTTAGTTAATCCAACTCCGTTACCGCCACCACCCCTTTTTATAACCTCGCACGCGCTTGAAGGCATCCGTTCTTAACCGATTAGTTTATTTTAATTACAAAAGGCTTGCTATCCGATCGCCCTTGTTTTATCCCTGCCAGCCAGTTACGGCACCTAGGGAGGTTTCTCCCTAACCGATAGGTGCTACGATGCCCTCATAAGATACCGACAGACTTTATACCTACGAACCTGATCGGGGAACCTACCGATTAGCGTACGAAGACCTATAAACGATACCGATACGAACGAATTAAATACATATTAAATAAGACAGCCCAGGAAATCAAGAATAGTTATAAGAACGGTTATAAGATAAAGCCCGGAGACCCCTCTTGTAGCCCTTACCGATATATAGTTGGTAGGAAGAGCCAGAGCCCCTAGAACTACGTATAGGGAGGGATCGAGGGTCAAGGGAAGCCCGGTAGATGCTACCGGACGAACAACAGTTAGATACGAGTTAGAAACGGAAACAGTCGGGCATAAATAGGATATATTAATTAGTTTATAAGATCAGAATCAGTTAAAAGAATCGGCAAAGCCAGTTATGAACGAGACGGACGAGATTACGTTATATCGTATGGGATTATTTCTTTCGTTTCTTTCGGGAGCTACGCTTATTCTACCTCCTCCGTTATAGTTCCTATTCCCTGACTATTAATCCTTGTTATTTCTTAATGGCCCTAATGGACCTAGCTCGCTCCTAATTAATTAGGGTTCATTAGAAATAGGTTAATTAGGTTAGTTATAGTTATAGCTCCGCTAGCATAGTTGTTATCGGATCTTTCCTATTATTTTTTATTAATCGTTAATTAAACTGGCTTAGCTCCTAGTTAGTAGCGATTAAATGAGTTCGGGATTGATTAGGTTTAGGATTAGGCATAGTTAGGCACGGTTGCAGTTACCTACCCCACTACCTACTTATTGCTATTGCAATCGTTCCTAGTTGGCTCTCTTTCCTAACTTATTCTATTGGCCTTTAATTGAACTGGCTAGCTTTTAGTTAATCAGGGTTAATTAGGATCAGGTTAATTAGGTTTAATAGGAACGAGAGCTACCGTACCTGTTGCTATTAGGAGTTTAATTACTCCTTGCGGATTAATTAAACTAGGGAGGCTATAGTAGTACGGTGGATCTAGGCTACGCAGCCTTTTCGATGTATATTTATATAGGCCGCGTACTTATATTTTCATTAGTTAGACTTAAATCTATATTTATTTATTACGGTTTTAAGAGCTATTCGCTAGGTAAAAGCCGTATGTTAATAAACTAAAGCTAAACGAGAAGAAAAAGGAAGAAAGTATACCCTATAGGCCGCACTTACGACAGCTAGCCTTATCCGCCGTAGGTACTAAGGGCCTGATTACGTACTATGCCCTAGCACTAGCCAGGGCCCTACTATAGGCATAGCCCATTACATTATTATAGCTATAGCTATTTACTCGTTTCTTACTATGCCTTTTCTCGCGATCCTCGTTACCCGTTTCTAGTCTCTCTCTTTTCCCTTTCCTAGCTGCCGTTTTTAGCTGGCCGATTAACCGATTATAGCTATTTATAGCTGTAACTGGTGATGGCTACAGGTCTAAGTCTAACTGATGAAAATATAAGTGCGTAACCCATATAAATACACATCCAAAAGGCTACGTAGCCTAGATCCACCGCACCACTACAATACCTTTCGATGACTAAGTGATTACAAGGTAACGGAAGCGAGCCTTATCAAAACGTACATCTTTGACAAACCTATCAAACTATGTCTTCATATTCACGAACCTAATTCAATAATGCTTCCCCGGCCTGATTTAAGCTTTACGCTGCCTAGTATATATGATGATACCGGATTAGACTGTCGCATATATCATCCAGTGCGTCAAGAAGAACGATGGAATACCCTACATGCTGCCATTATCGCGCACCCGTACGCGCCTTTGGGGGGCTGTTATGATGACCCGGTCGTGCTCTTGATAGGCGGGATATTGCTTCAGACCGGCTTCGTGGTTGTGACATTTAATTTTAGGTCAGTATTTTACGGATCAGTACTATCCTGCTTGTTACGTCGAGGGTTTTATACTAACCTTCTGTTCTGATCGTTAGAGGTGCATCTTCGTCCGACGGCCGTACATCATGGTCCTCCAAGCCGGAACGCGCTGACTACATGTCTGTCGTTGGGTTCGTCGTCTATTATATGCATTACTTACATTCTCCCCAGCGACTACCACAAACCACAGCGGGAGGCAGATCTCCCACTCTCCTGTTCGCAGGGTACTCGTATGGCGCCATGGTTACAACCCAACTCCCTTCTCTCCAGTCCGTCCTATCGCAGTTCGCTTCGCCTGCTACGCATACTGCCTTCGCAGATATCCGACTGCGAGCACAATATCTCGCCGGACAAGTGGCCGGAGCATCCGCTGCTGCCTCACCACGAAGATCACAGCGCGTGCGTGTTGGCGGTGACGAAGACAGGTCTTTCCTACAGCACCCTCATGATAACTTGCGGACAGGCCTTAGCAGGCAGGAAATACGAGGGGGTGTCAAGGACCTGTTGTCAAAGGCAACGTTGGCATACATGAAAATTGACTGCAACTCTGCCACTCAATATAAGGACAGGGCTCGAGAAGAATCACGCTTAGAGAAGGTCCACGATTTAATAAGGTATCACAGCGCCTATCTGGTTGTCTCACCGCCCCTGGGCATCGCTACCAATCTAGCGACCATGAGTTTCCCGCTTTCCTTCTCTATGTGGCCGATGAGAAAGCGCAGCAGGATTCACCCTGGTGGAAATGATAAGACGACAAAGGAACAGGAAGCAACTGAGGCCGAGGATAAGCTTATAGCGAACCCTGTGGTAGTCATATATGGCAACCGTGACATTTTCTTATCGATGAGGAGGATACAGGACTGGACCAACCGCCTCTGCAATGTCGAGGGATCCAATTTTCATCATATTATGATTCCAGGTGCTGGGCATTTTTGGGCAGAGGATGGCGTCATATCTAAGTTAAGCCAGGCTATAAACTCGTTTGCATCCAGATTAACACAGAATCAAAACCATTAATCGTAACGGTTATTTTAATAACCTGAGGCTTTGTATATATATCTGGAGATATTGTGGCACTTAGGCAATCAGGCATTCAGAATGGAGCCCTGTCATTGGTTAGGTTGAAGAAAAACGCACAACAGCTAATTGTTTATAAAACGCTGTATTTAAGCCTTTTAGCAGTTTAATTTTTATACCTTCAATTAATTAACTAGATTTACCTTTTAATATGCTTTACATGCTTTATATATAAGGCATTAAAGCTACAAAAGGAACCTACCAGAATGCATAATATGTTTTATTACATAGGCATTCGCTGCTATTCGCGCCTAGTAGCAACCACCCAACTTACCTAAGCTCGTTAAATAATTTTATATATACCTATAAATTGCTCTATACTCCCTTGTATATTTCCTTCTTTTTAATTAGTTAATATATACCTTCTTACCTGTATTCTATTACTCTTTATACTCGTAACCTAATACGCCATACGTTATTTTAATTAATTATATTATAGTTATAAGCTTAGGGTACTTTTTAAGAGCTATTATTACTTAAGTTATTCTAACGTAAATAAGTATTATATATTTATTTATTTTTTTAATCTTACGATTATTTTCTCTTCTTATTTCTATATAGGTATTTTATTCTTATATTTATTACTAAATCATTACTTACTTATTCATTATATCGATTAATACGTCCGAGTTTTTTTTAAATCAAAATTTAATTAACATATACTTATAAGCTTATAATAAATAACTATGTTAGTTTCTTACGTTTAAATTAATAATTACTTAATTTAATATTTAGAAAGACGCTAATTTAAACGGAGTTAAGTTTAACCTTAATTGCGACGTAATAGATACATTTAAGGAATGTATTATTTAAGAGAATGCTTGCTTTAAAGATAATTATTAAAAAGCGATTTACAAATAAGCTGCGCTCGATTCCGAAAAACGGGAAAGTTAACTGATAAAGCTTGAAACTCGTATTTAAACGTAATAAATAACTTCTTGTAATAAGTTAATTTCTTAAAAAATAATGATCGAAGCTCAAGTTAAAGCTATTTATAAATAATATAAGGTTTTTTATAGTAGGATTTTCGTATTTATTTCTTTAGGCTTTTTTAAAGTAATTAATATGAAGATTTAATTTCTAAAGTTCGATTCGATTACTTAACATCTCGTAAAGATCTTCCGTAAATAGATTACTCCTACCGAGGTAGTTATTAAAACATTCATTAAACGAGAGTACCGTAAGATATTTTAAAGAATAAGGGTAAGTACTTATAACTACGAGTAATTTTACGTTATGTAGTAATCTACCTTTCTTTATATTCGTACTTATTATATTAATAAAATGGAAAGCGTTATAGTAGTAAAACATTCTTTCGAAATAATTAAAATAAAAACCGCCGTCAGTTAAGTTATTTAGGTATTAATCGTTCTTATAGAAGCTGATAAACTTAACGAATTACTAAAGACCCTTAAGTAGTTAAAGATTATATTTAACAGTTTCGTTATTAAGAATATGTTACGTAGATCAGGAGAGCTACGTAGGTACTAAGGGTACTTCTTAAGAGTAACGGAAGGTAGAAAGAAGAAGGTAAATTAACTAATTATCTAAGATGAAAGGAGATAAATAAAGGAGATACGAGCTACCTATATATAAACGATAGAGAGCTACGAACTATATTATATAAGCGAGCTAAGAGTTATATGAAGTAAGCGAGTAACTAGAAAAGAAGTAGAGAGCCATATCTAGGTAGCTTTCTACGTAATATACCCCTTAGTTGGGCTCGCGATAACGAGCTTAGTTAAATAATAATAGTAACTTAGTCGGAGGACTCGCGATAGTTAACTTAGCTACCCTCTTAATAAAAGTCGTAGGTTAACTCGAGGCTTACTCGCCTTGCTGGCTTTCTAGGGTAATATATTCGTCGCTTCGGTTACTTAAGCCTCCATACTATACTCTTAATAGCTTATAATATTAACTCCTCTTAATATCCTAATAAAAGAGATATACCGTAGCTCTTAATTAAGTATATCTACCGTATTCGTTATACGTATATAAGGGCTCTTATTACGTCGCTTTATATTATTATTATTATACGTGAATCCTTTCGTAGCTTTACTAGGTTAGTACCCGGTAACGCTCCTTCCTATACTCGAGCTCTTATACTATAAGAGAAAATTCTCCTACTCTCTCGTAGTAGCTCTTTCCTTCTTCTCTTTTCTTCTATAGAGGTATTGTAGTGGTGCGGTAAGACATGCCCTCTTGATATATTACGTAATACGCTACGATAGGCCTTATGCCTATATAGAGTAACCATAGCTCCCGTAAGTGCGGGATATGCTATACTTATTATTTAGTTTATTATATAGCTAGATTATTATCTTTGCTATTTTTGCTTTAATTAAAGATTCGTTTTTACTATTAGATTCGTCGTTTTCCGATTAGTGCGTTTATTTTAATTATAGGCGCTTAAGTTACTTCGTCGTATCGCTATGGCCGAATAAGTGACTTTTACGTTTTGCCTTTTTTCTTTCCTTACCTCTTATATCTTCGGGCTAGCGACTACTATATCCCTACGACTAAGGGGCATAGCTAAGATACGATAATTATATTAGATTCCTTGCCTTTCGATTAATGTAGCGATATTAGTTTTATTCGTCTTGGATTATCGTACGTATTATAATCTTCGATAGAATATACTTTCGAGTAAACCTATCCGGGTTTCTAATATCGCGTACGCTTTACTCCTCCTTAGTAGCGACTACCCTATGACTTTTTCGACCCCTTAACCTTTAGTTTACGGAATTTCTATTACGCTATTAGGATTTAGAGGATACCGATCGCCGTCGGCGCTATTATTTAACCCGCGAAGTAATCCGCGTTTTACGTTAAATAAAGTATCCCGCCTTATGGTTATTTATTTACTATAAGGAGGTACGTATAAGCCCGGGAACCTTTATTACGATACTATAGCCGCTAAGATACTACCTAGCCCTTAATACTTATAATATTAATAAGCTATCGATATTACGATATAATACGACGACTAAACCGCGTTTATACCGATTAAGATATCCCTCGTATCGTTATTTACCTGCTTATACGGAGGAACCCGTAAGCCTAGGAAACTATCGTCGTAATACTACCGTTACTAGGGATAATATTTAGCCCTCGATATTAACCGCTTCCTTAAACCGCTAATAGTATAGTATATTTCGTACGAATAAATAAAGCTCGTAGCGATTAAGGCAATCCCCTTATAGTTATTTACTTACTATATAAAGAACGTACGAGCGCCTTAATATAAATTACGATAACTTATACGACCCGTTACTCCCTTACTAATATTAAGAGCGGATAAAGGCTAATAATAATTATATTCTAACCGACCTTACGATAGCTTCTTTTTCCTTTTAAACCTATTAATCGATATAGATTAAATATATAAATACTAATAATTTATTATGCTAAAGGCATTTTAAGATACCTAGGCGTAGCGACTCGACGATATAGTATACGATATAATATAAATATTTATATTAATAGCATAGATAGGAATTAATAGATTAATAGCTATTAATAACCGATAGTTTTAAGGAGAACTAGGAATTAATATTAATAGAACTACGTAGATATAAAGGATTAGGAAAACGGAATTAGAGTCGAGCTAATAGGTATACCTATATATAAGTTAGCCTTATATTACTAATTAATAACTAATATAGCGAGAAGTACTAACATAGGCGTAAAACGGCGCCTAGCGGTAATACCGTTAATATTATTAAATAACCCCCGTTAGATCGAAACCGGCCCATGGCTATAACCGGTATCGTATTTAACGCGATTCTTTACTCGGGATTTATTCTTTATACGTATTACCTTAACGAAGGTTATACGTTAGGAGTTCTAGACCTTAATGGAAGAAATTATCGTCGACTTATTTATAATAATTAAACTATTAATCTAAGGAATACGTATCGTATTTTAATTAGGCGTTAGCCGACTAAAGAAGCTCGTATAATATCCGGACCCTATCGATCGGAATAGTATAATAAATAATAACATACCTATACTAAAGGAAAAGTATTAGGATATAAATAATAATTATTATACCTTTACCTTTATATTAGATAATAAAACCTTTACTACCCCCCTTTCTACTTTATACCTCGTACCGATAAATTAAACGGAATCCGTAGCTAGGAAACGGAGTAAATCGCCGTTAGGACCCGAAGCAATAAAGATTAAATTACTAGTAAAGACCTTAAGAGTCGATACTAGCTTTCCGTCCTTATATCCGCCCGAAGAAAAGGAGAACGACGATAAAACTCCTACTTAGCTACCCTTTACCCGCGGCTCTATACTTATCCCGTTAATCCTTATGGCATTATCTTAGAATAGTAATAACGGGGCCTTTAATAGCTAGAATATACCGATAGCTACCCCGATTATCGTAATGCTAGTTATTAGATTCCCTAACCCTACCGATTACTTTAGGCTTAAGTTTAATAAATATAATATAACCTAGTAGCTAAAAAGGGTAAATCGATTATTTAACCGTTACCGTATAAGTAACGACGATAAGATTAAGGAGATCGGCGAATAAATTACGACTAAGATTATTAGGGAGCGTATTAACGACGTTACGAAGGATTAAACGATTTAAAGAGTTATCGTTATAGCCCTAAAGTACCGTTTTAGGATTACCGATAAACTAAGCTAAGCTAACGTTAAACGTAAACTCGTATAACTAAAACGAGGTAACGTAATTAGCGACCTTAAGGCGATTTTTACGTATCTTATAAACTATAAACGCCTTTCTAAGCTCGTAAACGATAACGGAAAGCTTCCCTAGAAAGTAAGGTATCTAACCGATAAATTCCGGATATCCTTAATTATAAAGTTCTATAAAACGAAAGACTATAACTATAATAAGATCGGAAATGTCGACTATCGGACTCTTTATACCTAGCTCTATAAGTAAGCGGAACGTCGTATAGTGGTATAAATTACCGATAAGGCCTAAGCCGAAGAACGACGATAGTAAAAAACGGTAACTTTCGAAGAACCCGAGAAGCCTATAATATAGATAATTTAACGATTAACGACTCCTAGCCTTTAGATACCTTTACTACCGCTTCCTTCGTAGCTTAAACCTTCTTACGGCTACCTAAGTACTAGTTAGGAAGCTAGTATATAGGCCCTTTACG